AACTACTCGAGTGTGTCCGAAGGTGGTTGGAGGCGACAGATCTCCGGTCATTCGTTGTTAGTTAAACACAATTTTAAGAAAGGTGTTAGTTGAACACAATAACTTGTTTTTCTGCACTTCTTGAAATGTTTTAAGAACGTAATTTTAATGTTTTTGACAAAATTCAGATTATTAGGCACAATAAGTACTGATACAAATGCACTGCAACAATTTAAATTAAGTATACAATTTAAAAGATTTTTCCCGTATCTTTTATCGTATGCTTGAGCCGTTTATTTCTAAAGTGCACCCTAATTATTATCGACTAATTTCAATGAAACACAAAAAACTATATTTATTATAGCAACTGTAATATCAAAACCAATATTTAAAAAAAATTAAATTGAATGTTTTTTTTTATTTGTATCATATTCTGCTGAAAATCATTGTTTAAGTTAATACTAATTGAAAAACATTGAAATTAAAGTAGAAAGGATTTTCTAACGGAAGATGGTGAAATGGGGGTTCTCTTTGGAAAGAAAATAATGTGGTGGTTTGAGGGAAAAATTGAACTATAAAAAATTATTATTCATTTACAATAATATAGATTATTTATTTATTTTTCATTTGAATAGAAAGGTTAACACAGACTGGTTTTTCTGACGGATACTCGTCATTTAGCACTCAGTCACTAACATTCAAATGAATTAAATTCATTATTTGTAATTTACAGAAAATAATTGATTAAAAAATTCAGTGCGAAATATCACTGACGAATATGTGTTAAAAAACTTTTTGATGATTTTTTTTAATACTTAAGCAATGGAAGCAGCATTAAATTTCATGAAAAAGGAGGCCGGTTTTCGAAATCAAATTATTTCCACGCTAATTTTTATAATATTTAAATTATTAAAAAAAATAAGTTCACCATCGGATTCATTAGGTATTTTTTACTTAAAAATCGGTATTTACTTAAATATTTAATTTTACTTAAGTATTTAATTTAAAAAAAAAAAAAAAATATGTTAGGGTTCAGTTTGCTAATAACAGACTCACTTAATATAATATTCATTAATATAATATGATTATAGTTAATTAATATAACTTTATAATATTAGCCCGTACACTCTGTCATTATATGTGATTGTCAATAATCAGCCACATTCAACATTCCTTCTACTTTTTGTAGGGGTTCCATCTACAGAGTGCTCGATGTTATCTTGAAATTAGCCGCTATCATGGAGTAACTATTCGCAACTAGTACGTCTTTTATGTTGGTATCAAGGATATGATTAATCATACTGGATTCATGACTTCTAGTGCATTATAATCAATCCATTATCTTCTTTAGTGTCTGCCATTTTTTTTAAATATCAATCCAAAAGCATCTTACAATTTCGTACTTTTAATAGACATATTCTTATAAATAAAACAATATCATTTTTACAAGGCAGGGTTAGCACTATTGCACATGTATAACTGGAACCTCTTAAATAGAACCATGTGGTTCAATAATGTACAAACGTTTACACCTGTTATCTGTTGCATATGCGATTGTTACTAGCTACAACTAGCGCTACAAATAACATATGGTAAACGATGTTATTCAAAGCAAAAGCAAAAAAAGATATTTTCAATCAAAATCGTTATTTTTACACTTTAGGTAGCTAATTAATTTATATGGATACTTCCTAATTCATTCAACCACGTTCTTAAAATGAATTCCAAAATATAATGTTTTAAAAGTATTTTTGTTCATTCCCCCTGTTACAGAATTTACAGTACATATTTAAGTATATTAATAAATGAGGTATCAAACGAAAGGGAGCTTCATGGAAATATGAAAAATCCCAATCTTAAATGCCTACGAGTTTAATAAAAGACAATAAAAAAAAATTGAAAGGTTTTGAAACTTAAATGGTATCAAAATTCAACGGATCGAGACGCAATTTTTAGATTCTGAATTTTAGAGATTCTGATGTGGATACCAGTGTCAAGTATATGTATAAAAGAACTTTACTGAGCCCCGTGTTTTAAAGCCATTGAAATCCTCAGATAATATGGGGTACTGATCATATCGTCAGTCTTTAAAAACAATAATATGACAGTCTTTGGTAAACTAAAAATCCTTTGAAAAGATAGATGGAGGAGAATAAAACTAAGTAGAATAACAATATCATCCATTTGGGACTTATAATTTCAGAATACCTAATTATTTAAATATAATATCAGATCTGGAGTTATTAAACTACAGTAAATGTATTTAAGTTTATAAAGATATCCATGAAATATTTTTATATTTCTCATCTTCTTTCATATAAGTACAATAAAAAAGAACTTTAAACAATGTCTTAAATAAGGGATATTGCCTTCATTAGATGGATTGTTCATTAAATACATTGTTAACTTTAAAAAAAAAAATTAAAAACAAGTTTTTATTTAGTAAGAAATTTCATTAAATTTCCTTGGAAACATGTAATTTACGTTAAAAAGTGTTAGTTTTCAGAAATTATTATCTATATTTTTTCGTCACTCTTTGTCACTTTCTACAACTTTATTTGTTAGATATTATTTTTGTATAAAATTCCTCGTTTTCCAACGATTTATTATAGTACACTTTCTGATTATTATTTCCGGAAATTCATTTTCGACCAGGATAAGCATTTTTATTTTTTTCTCATGTATGCAATTATCAAATTCTTTAAAAATTTAAAATGGAGATATCTCAAATCTTTCTATACTTTTTTTATAGGAAGCTGGTTAGTGTCCAGATTTTGTACATTGTACACCGTAACTTAACCGTAAAGCTCTGTTTGCGCTAAATGTAAGTTGGTCTATTTCTGGCCGTTGGTCATTCATTGATGTTATTATAGAATCGAGGTATTTGAATTTATCCTTCTTAATAATTATTGAAGTCAAATTTTCGGCTTATAATCATTGTTGGATTTACATCCACAATTTTTATTGTTATTATCATTTAAATTATATTATATGACCTGTATGAATAACACGGGAGGCCCCCGGTCTCATCACTACCCTCTCTCTAAGACAGCGTTATCTACGTCGAAGGGTCAGATGCTAGCAGACGAAGCGAGGAATCTCATGGCTTACGGCCTACCGTAACCAGACTTCCAGAGTTACAACCTTTCGGCTATTTCCAGGACCCTGGACGAACGGCGGAGAGAGAGAGAGAGAAGCCCCCCAATATTGTACAATCATATATTTCGTTTTGTCTCCATTTACTTGTAGGCCGATATACCCTGCCTCTCTTATCAGAGTTTCTCAATGTATTCTTGATTACTTCCAAGGGCAGCTATATCATCTGCGTATACAAGGATTTTATGATTCATCCGGACGGGGAAGATTCCATTTTCCTGTGATTTTATTCTTACCACCTTTTCCATGGCTAAGTTAGACAACATCGGTTCAACATCGGACAGACCATCTCCCTCCCGTAAGCTCATTCGTACTTTGAAGGCTTCGGATACTTCTCCTTCTATTAAGAATCTAAATTTAAGGTCATTTTACACTCCTTTGTCAATCTCACCAACTTACCGAGAATTTCCAGCTCAGTCATGATTTTCCAAAGACAGTTCCTGTCCACGAAATTGTTGGCTGCTTTGAAAGCGACAAATAGGGCGTGGACGTCCTGGTCTACTCCCCAATGTTTTTCGAGTACTTATTTTAAGATGAAGATCTGGTCTAGCGTGCTCTTCCCTTTTCTGAATCCAGCATGGTGGTCGCCTACTATATTTTCGTAATACGGATATATCCGGTTAAGTACGATATTGGTCATTATCTTGTAGGTAACAGGAATGAGGCCTTAATTGATATTTCAAAAATGTTTATGATATCGATGAAAGTATTGACTAGCGATATTTCAACTACGATACTTTGATGGTATCGATAGTTATAAACCGATATTAATAATCGATTGAAATATCGATCTTGGTCCTTCGATATCCCATTGCTACCCGAAGAAAAAGAGCTCCATGCAAATTTTTAACTAAATGATTTAGTAATAAAGAAATAAATTTTAATAGCTCAAAAATATGAAAAATTTGCTCTCTGAACAAATTAAAAATTGTGACATAGCGTCTTTTACCTCCGTAGAATAGATTTAGTAACAAAAAACAAATTTTAATATCTCAAAGTTATGGAACATTGGCTATCCTGAAAAAAATATAGAAATGGACATGGTGTTGTTTACCTCAGGGTTACTGATGTGTGTTTTATATCGAATTATTTTACACTATTTTTAAACCTTTTGATACTGCATCATCGATTTAAATCACAAAAGATGTTTTCGGTCTACGGAAAAATTCGGTATCACTAATTATAAAAAGATCAGACGGAGGACAAGTTAACGGACCATAGAATAAGAAATGAAATCGAGAAATACCTACGAAGTGCTTCTTGCGGTAAACAATGGGTCTTGTTACTTGAGAAATAGGGGCTAATGCCACTCGATAAACCACGAAAAGAAGCAGTTACAGAGTTCAGGCTAATCATCGGCCATGATTATTGAAAAAACATTTATATAAATTAGGTGTAGCGGAATAAACTAACTATGATCTCTGCAGCAAACGGGTTCGCCGTTAATGCGACACATCTTGAATCGTGCATAGTTTGTCAGAAATATGAACTCCGAATTTCTTAAAATCAGACATCTACTGGGCTGCTAGGAAACTCATAGCCGAGGCCGAAAGTCAAGAGGCACAAATAAAATGATCACTTTTCAATAAATTTGTCTTTTGAACAAAGGCAGCCGGCATTGGAAAGGCGAAAAGATAGTTACTTTCTGTCTTCTAACCAATATTTTATAAAGGAGGACCAGATTATCACTAGCTTTTCAATATTTTTTATAGACATTTAGTCAAGAAATAACTCGCACTGTGTATTTATTTATATTTATATTCATATTTTTCTCTTGTAAACAAAGCAATTATACGTAAAAACAAATCAAAATATTATTTTCCTTCGATTGAAAATATTACTTAACAATACAGGAAAAACAACAGTTCACCTCAAACATTTTATTGTAATATACTCAAAATTTTCTATCAATAGCATTTTTTTTTAGTTTTGCTCCTTGATCTATTTTTCGATGTTCTGGAAACCCTTGGCGTTCTAGAACGTGATCTCCTTGTCGATGCTGGCTCTTCTGGTGGTGCAAAAGCGTTACGAAACATGCGAAAGCAGTAGAAGAAAGACATCAAGAAAAGTATCGATGCCAACCCCTGTGGAACTTCGGGAAGGTCTTTGTTGTTGACAATGTTCTTGGAGAGGTGCAGGAGCACGATGACTCTTACGAAAATAAATACAGCAGGATATAAGATGTCGAAGAACAGAACACAACACTGATAGATAGTGGCAATCTTACGGATGTTGTATAAGAGATTGGCCACCTCAACCAAGAATGCAAAGGTAACGGCTATATTGGCAGCCCTTCCTTCAACCAGAAGTGCCAGGATGCCAGATATACTCAATGTATGGTGCAATACGTCTATGAATGATCTTAAAGATAGCGTATCTAAAATGTAATATCCTGCGGTAAGCATCAGTGGCACCTCGTTTACTGGGGAGTTTTCAAGTGCTTCGGCCAAGTGAGGGTTGCCCAATTTCCAAGAATATAGGTAAGCACCTAAAAATGTCCATTACAGTTATTTCACACAAAAATGCTCTTTAAACAGTCATTGTTTAAGAAAGAGAAAAAGAATTACTTAGATTTATAGTTAGTTATAAAGAGTATATACTTAGATATATACTTATAAAAAGTATTTACTTAGATATATACATAAATCATGTGTTAGTATAGGATAATATTCAATACAAAAAACAAACAAGAGACAGTAAACCTAAAACAAAAAAACAAAAAAAAAACCTTCAAATTAGTTCACAATGGTTTATTATTTCCAAACAGATATACATCTAAAGCAACGTTACCTCCCTAGTTACAATGAAAAATAAATAAAAGGTGATTCCAATTATTGGACTAAACTTTTTTTTTTAATCATTAGTAATATGCTACAAAAAAAATAGCATTACTTCAGTAACACATTCAAAATTTATAAACCAAGCAAAGGATATAACATTTGGAGTAGAACATATGAAAAAAAAACTGGAGACCATATCTTTGCTCCTAATTGTCCGATTTTAACGATTTTTTTTTTTTAAGAAATCCCGTAAACTTTTAAAAAACCATAACAATATCGAGAAAAAAGTGTATACTTTTTGAGTTATTAGGAATTAAATTTGACCATCTTTTCGTTGAAGTATGTTGTATAGATAAATTTAAAGGGAGCCATGAAAATGACTTTAGCGAAGTTTCATTGAAATCGGAACATTCATTTAGGAGCTACAGTCTATAGCAACGCAGGTTTTTCGGCCGCCATTTTGAAAGTAAAAGGTGGATAGTAATGTCGATGAAGGAGGATCATCCTCGGGTGACCTCTGATTTTATATCCAAACTTGAATAAAATCGGTTCAGTAGTTTCGAAGAAATGCGCGGACTGCGGACGGCGGACGAACAAAAACATCTTTATTCGGTTTTCGTATTCTACGTATTCTGAAACCTCGAATTTTGAGAGGGGTTTAAGTTTTTGAATTTTTTGGTCTATCACAATGGTTGATCATTGAACATAATAAACCAAAAGACACAACTAGATATTGTACGTGATACAGACCACTTTTTATCGAATTATTAACATCCGCCTGAAACTTCGTAAATAGTTATACCTCATTGTAACCTGCATCTATTTTATTTACGAAAACTCTTGGATTTGGGGCGTTTACCATCTGGATGGGAGCAATCTTTGTTTATTTAATTAGGTACTAAAAACTCGTGTAAATACACATTTTCTTTCTATGTGAATCGTAAGATAATTTGATCACAAAATAGATAAAAAAGGTAGACTACAAAAATATTGGGCCATTTGTCCTATATAACCTCATTATTTTGAAAATTTGTGGGTGTAGGTCACGCCAAATGGCTCAATATTTCTGAAGGCCACATTTTTTCTCAATTTTGTTATTAAATTATCTTGCGATCCAAGTAGAAAGGAAATGTGTATTTACGAGTTTTTAGTACCTAATTAAGTAAATAAAGTTTGTCCTCATTCAGATTGAAAACGCCCCAATTCCAAGAGTTTTCGTAAATACAATAGTTACAGATTACGATGAGATAAAACTATTTACAAAATTTTAGGCGGATGTTAATAATTCGATAAAAAGGATTCTGCACTACGGACTATAAACTTACTTAATGAACTAAACTATTTCGTAAATATTTTCGTAAATGAAATAGTTTCGTAGTTTGAAATAGTAGGTTACGATGAGATGAAACTATTTATGAAGTTTCAGGTGGATGTTAATAATTCGATAAAAAGGGGTCTGTACCACGGACTAACATATTTGTTCTTTACAAAAACAAATTAACTAAAATTCTTATAAGGGGGTTGTCAATGGAAGTACAAGATAAAACTTGAAGGTGTCTCTAGTTCTAGCCAAAACATTGTCTTTTAAAATTATAAAACCTATTTCTGATCAAATGACCTTATAATTGTGAACTAGAAGAAACATTCTTTCCGTTAAAATATATTGGTTTTCAGAAATTTTTTATACCACGCTCCTCCGTATATGTTAAATATTAATGATCCTAAAGTCTTAGTTTTCCATCAATATGATATGCATATATATTACTAATCACATTTCTCCAAAAATTATATCCAGCCTGGGAAAACGAGCCTCCTCTTTTTCTCGTTCTATGATATATGTTCTACCACAAGAAACTATTATTTCTTTTTTTTAAATAAACCAAATAAAGGGCACATTAGAGAGAGTTTTTTTGAAAAGTCCTCATTTAGGTTCTGTACTCATACCAGACTGAAACGACAAGAAACCGCTCGACGTTTCCGATTACTTCAGCATTTACTGCGAACGCTCTAAACTTCCAATTAATTACAAAAGTCTCATGTACATGACTATAATAAGGGCTGTTTGGACTTACGGAGTTGAGCTATGGGACTCCACTAAACCATCTAATTGCTCTTGTATCCAATCCTTACAATCACAAATCCTTCGTAAAATCCTTACTATTCCATACTTTGTTACAAATGAAATCATCCATAATGACCTTAATGTTTCTTATGTTTCAGATCTGGACTAATCCAGATACCTATCAATCCATAATAAAATCATCCGAACTCTCTCCTTTCTAACCTTGCTCCTTCAATTCCTGATAACAGTCCGAAGCGTCAGAAAAGAAGATGGCCCCGTGAAATCCTAATGTAGACATATCATTAGAGTGCTACCAATGGGTAGTTTCTCAACAAGCATTTTCACGTCATTCTATCCATATGTTCAAATGTACTAAATGTATTTCTTTAATACAGTTGTAAACATTGTTAAGAAAAAAAAAAAAAAGATTCTGTTAGACTACATCGAATAAAGTTTACTTACTATTAAAAAAGCACTATTTTTTATTTTTTAAAAAAACATTTATTCTTACGATTTAATGTGTTTAGCAAAAATTATTGGAGCCGTTTTTTGAGGAAATCGTAAAAATGTGTAAGATCGTTTAGACACGGTGTCACGATTGGCTAACCGATTTTAGTAAAAATTTTAATGTAACTGATTTTGATAAATATATTCCTTAAGTGGGTAATTTCAATTTCGTACGACATTTAGTTTTTTATTTACGCTGTTCACACTTATTTTGTAAGTCTTGGTTGGACTGAGACGACGTCAAACCGTGTATTTTTATCAACAATTCAAATTCCAATTATTTGTTTTAATAAATGTTGTCTTCAAATTTATTCTTACGATAAGCAGTACTCTTTTATCTTGTTAGCTGAATCTTTCTATTAAAATTATCAAAACATAACTTAATAACTTACTTTGAAACTTATTAATAAGAACTAGCCTTATTAAAGACGAAATAAACAATCATAGTGACTAGCAGGATGGTTAAATAAATGATTCTCACCTAGTAAAACCAATGAGTTAAGAATTGCTACACCTTGCCTTTTGTCTTTCGAATGCCTCGTGCAGCAAGAGCAACACACCATAAATATATTAGCAAACATATAAATGCCTGTGGCGATAGCGATGCCGATCATTTTAGATAGCAAGGAGGATTTAGGCTGTAAAAAAAAATACATTTATATTCATAATATGAATGTTTATTTTATATTATATATTATATTTATATTACTTCTTATAATAATATAATAGTATCCTTATGGAAGTAATGCAAACCATTGAAGAGAATTAGCAAGATGAAAATATGAAGTTGAGTTCTACACATTCGAGAATTACTCAAATTATATGAAAAGATGGCAAAGTGGCTGCATTAAAATAACACATACTAAGCACCTAGATAGAATATTGCCGGCAGATTCTCAATAAAGGGAAATTTATGACATTTTGTATTTACATTGAGGAGATCAATCCACATGAGGTTAAAAGAAATCATACAAATGGAGGTGGAAACAGTTAGAGAGAGGCAGTTATAAGAAGCTCCAGGAATGGAATATATCTGATGGAGATCAGATATGTTTTAAGATGGGATAGAACGAATAAGAGTTACTATAGATAATCCAGAAAATGTGAGACGAAGAAAAGATACCAGAGAGTTGGAACATAGACCTAATTTTTCCTATCCTAAAAGAAGATAAATGTATGCAGATATCTTACCACTCCTTCAAAATGCTTATAAGATGTTCAATATCATGTTCAACTGAATATATTTCTATTATGGCCATCAAGCAGAAAGCAGAAGCGATGGGAGCACGTTATATCGGATCCTTATAAAATGTGCTCGAAAAATAATCGGAATTAGCTGAGAATATGCACGCCATGTTTATAGATTTCATAGCAGCCTATAATTCCGTGGACAGAAACCGTCTTTAGAACATCGTGATTCAGCTGAAAGCGCCAGGTAAATTGTTGAACATTAATGAAGAGGTGTACAAATGATTATAAAAGTCAATTCATGAGACAAAGAACTATATATAACTAGCAACGCCGCACAGTAGTTCAGAAGTGGAAACAACTCTTAAAATGAAACTGTTCCGAGCACACTTTTTGTACTATATTATCTCTCCTTAATATCCCTAGAATCTAGTCCACCAATTATTGAGCAACAATGAACGGTATTAAAAGATATTTTGAATAAATATTTTCTGGTCTTGATAAGAGAGTCGCACTTGAAATGTCGCACTTAAGGATAAGTAAAAATTCAAAAAATTAAATTTAGTACAGTCTTACAGTTCATTGCTTTTCATTGTTTTAACTATTTAAAAATCTAAGCATAAACGCAAAATAATCAACTAGCTCTCCTAAGATTCACGCTGGAACTCATTCCATTCGATAGTACGTTTCAAAACGTAGATTCTATGAAAAAAATTGCTTGCTGATCTTATATCAAGGCACGAGGGATTTTTCTGTGTAATCATTTCATATCAATTTAAGAAATCCGAAATCAGAAAACCGAGAAATCAACCAATTAATTTTTCACCTTAATTAAAATTATTTACGTACTTTTTTCTTGACAGTTAGAACTTTAATCACACATATACGAATAATAGAAGATCTATTAATGACAATAGACGTCATTATTAGGCGTACTCGAGTGGAACATAGTAGGTTTATGCGAAAGTTTTCACAAATATGTTATTATAGATTTTGATGAGCTATAAATCTTTTCTAATGCAATTTCATAGAAAAAAAAGTGTTTCATTCTGTAACAAATAGTAATCTTTCACGATTTAATCCATCGAAAAGCTGTTTGTTTTACTATTTGAACAACGATTTAAAAATTTTAAATTTCCCAACAATTCTGTCTAAGTGGTCTACTGTGTATCGAATTCTAAAACACTTTATCGGTATGATTTTATTTTCTTACACTAAAATATAATTTATTTCGCATTTGTTTTAAATTTTCATACAAATATGATATCTTAATTTTTTTGTTCTTATTTATTGTATATATATTTTTTTTTCTGTATAATTTATTTTATTTACTGTACATAGAGTGTGAATGTGATCTGTGAACACTATTATAAATGTCCTTGAGACAGATTGTAATATTTTTCAATAAATAATTAAAAAAAAAAAAATTTGCAGTTTGAAATAGGTTCTCGAATCTTATAACTCTTTGCATTTTAAAGTTATTGGGGAACCTTCCAATATCCTTCCACAATCGCCTTAGTCCTCAATCTAAATTTTATGGAAATTTAATAAGGAAGTTTAAAAAAAAATAATAAAATAAATATGATATTAATAAAGGTTAAACCACCATTCTAAACAGAGCTTGTAATAATAATTTTCAGGGGCTAATTAGATTAAAATGTCTTAAAAAACGACAATATTAACACTTTTAAAATTAAGATACTCTTTCTTTTTTTTAAATAATATTTATGCTTTAGTTCTATATTATGTAATTATCATAAATCTATATGTTTGTCAAGTCATTAATATTTTAGCCAATAATGTCGACTTGAATCATCAGATACATTTCTGTTCAGAATTTACCAAAATTTAAAACATAATATTCTCATAATAACAAAAACGGGCAAAGTCATCGATTTGTTTTTGTTTCATTCGATTCTTAATAAGAAAATACATATAAATGACCCTTATATAAGTTTTAAAGTCGTATGTATAAGATGGGCCAAGTTTTTTTCCGAAGATAAGGTGTATTGTACCACAGTCGACTCTGGCCTGGGCGGGTTGAAATTTATTTGTTGGTGCGAACCACGGAATGAATCCCAACCTTCAAACTCTGATTAAAATAGGCTTGGTTGTAGCTCTAGAACAACCCTCCCTGTTTATGCCGTAAATAGCCAGATAGAAGCTAATCGATAAAAAAGGTACAAAGTAAACTTCAAATTTCTAAATGGTTTGAAACAGTGATTCGAATTCCCGTCGAACTTAGCCCTTGAGAGGGTAATAAGAGTAATATTACATCAAGAATATTTTGATGGAATCTATATTGTCTAGTTGTCAATATAATTTCTTATCAATATCGTATAGCATTGTCAAGTTAAATAATTTCATATTAATTTTATTCTTGTAAGTACGTAATGTTTTGTAACCATTAATTTTATAAATTTTATCAGCTCACCACATCATTATCTCTTTGGTAGGCTTAGAGTTACCTCAAATTACTATTATCACTTCAATAATCATCTGCGATTTATCTCAGATTTTCTTTTTTATTCTAATTCCAGTATAAAAAGTTTTTCTAATACTAATACATACCTTCAAAATATCAGTAAATATTTCTATTATGGGATCCATGGTTCGTCTGATCTAATATTAATCTTGTGGTAAGAGGTTCTCTATTTTCATTGATTAAGGAATTAAGCTATACGAACAATTTGGAAATCTATTTTTTCACATGTCTATATGATGGTTATATGATCGAGCATCAAACATATCGCTATTTACCTATTTTCCCTGTTTTCTGTAAAATAAAATAACTAAAATAAAAACTTATGACCTGTAAAATAAACCTTATCTCGTTTCCTTGGAAACAACATGCGTTGAACTCAATAATTTACATTTTAAAATACTACATTGCTATGTGAACTGTTAGAGACTGGGGAAAATATTTGTTATTTATCTTTCTCTTTTTTAAGGACAATGATTATGACTGAGTACATACGCGGATGCTAGCAATTGAAATCTGATTGTAGTTTAAATCACACTTTATTTTATGAATATTGGATGTAATTAGAAAACCGTTTCAGATAAAAGATACTTTCATCTGCTTCCTAGCTAATCTACCAAAATTTTCTCATCGTTTTTTTTTTTTGGTTTTGTGTTCGACTTTAGCTTTAGAGAAAGCTCTTGAAATTTAATTAATAAAGACTTAATTAAAAATATTGATTTTTTTAATCAAACTAATTTGGGGATTTTCTAATACACCTGCTTTTCATAATACTAGACCAAGTCGAAGTAACTTTTTCCCGATTTCAATCTTATCATCGTTCATCCATCAATCCATGCCCAGAGGTAACTTCTCAAGAACCTCCAGTTTAGTCTTGATTTTCCTAATACAGTTTCTCTCAACAGATTTATGGCTGCTTTGGAATTCACCGGTAAGGAGTGGACATCCTGAGCTACTCATGGTTTTTGATTACTTTTTTAAAAATTAAGATCTGGGCTAAAATGCTGGTCGTCAATTATATTTTCGTAATATGATTATATTTTCGGTTTAGTAGGACTCTGTAATTATTAGACTCAAATAAGGAACTTTCCTTCAGGATAGGAAGGATAGTAACTTCATCAGCTAAGTAGATGATTTTCATTTTTCTTCTTTCCTCTACTGCCTTTTCGCTAATTCATGTGCACCACTACTTAGCTTTTCGGTTCTCCTGAATACTTATCACCTCTTTCTCTTTTAGTCTCGTAACTATTACCTCCTAGTGTCGGTCAACCGTGCGTATCTTCCTATCCCGTTGAACTGCCTTTAATTAATGTTTAGCAAACATGGTTGGAATCCCCGGGTCTGTAGGCTAAATAAATCGTTGACCAAAATAAAATTATTGAGCTTTGTCCGGGTGGTAACTCTGTTTTGACAGGGGTTTAATGGGTCTGATCGACCCTCAAATAACTCCAAGTTGGTCAAATGATAAATCAAGTGGGTTGATCTCTCTAGAATTCAGTTACTTCTAGAGTCAGGTCTTTTAAAAGCTGCTAATTAAGTTCATTGCTTTTCTTACTCGTTCATATTTAAAAGAATGATAACGTTCAATCCACATCCATCAAAGAAAAATCTCCATTATTTCTAAATAAATTTTTACCTAATTTTTTCATTAATTAATTTCATTCGTGGAACCCTCATACTAGACTTAAAAGAAAGGAAATAAACCGACGATACGGACAACTATATCGGCTACTAAACAGAAAATCTAAAGTTTCCATTGAAAACAAGTTACTGATCTACAAGACAATACTGAAACTTATCTGGACTTACGGACTTGAACTCTGGGGAACATTAAAATTTACTAACATCAAACGCATCCAATCCTTCCAATCCAAAGTCCTTCGAACAATAGTCAATGCTCCTTTCTATGTAACCAACAAAACCCTACACCATCACCTTACTATCCCATTTGTCCTAAACCTTATCCCAGCAAAATTCTCCAAATTCCACCAGAACCTTACCCATCATCCAACCTCGCACAATCTCTATCCAGCACCACCCATCCATATAATCCTCCAAGGCGGTTAAAACGGAAGTGGCCCCGCGATCTTTTATAAAGCTGTAAATATTGGAGTTCTGGCAATGGCCAGATTCTCCACTCACGACATGAGTGTATGTGGCTAAATCACTCTTGCTCAATCTCCACTGGGTTTAGCCCTAGTGACGCGGTTGAGAGAGGAGTGCAGGGAACTCCTGGAGTCATACTTTTCCCTCCACAGTTGGAGGGACAAGTCTGGTTTGGAATTCTCTCACCAAATTGTAAATATTGTATATAGGTGTGTATGTGTTCTTTTTATTTATTTATTTTTAGGTTATTTTATTCTTATTTATTGTATATATATTATTTTTCTGTATAATTTATTTTATTTATTGTACATAGAGTGTCAATGTGATCTGTGAACTCTATTATAAATATCCTAGAGATAGATTGTAATATTTTTCAATAAATAAGTTTAAAAAAAAAATTCATTATTCCTGTAAGTAAAATTATACTTCCCTGATAAAATCATTTATATAGATTTTATGCCAATATGTTTTTTTAATTTTAACAAATTTTTTGTTAAAAACAAACGTAATGTTGATCTGTAATTTAAGTTCGTGGTATTGCAGTGTAAATATTATGACATTTTAATGTATAAATTAGTAGTATTATGTATGTAAAGTAATATATGTAGTTTATTTTTATAATAATCATCATCTACTCTTTCACTTGTCGAAAGTATGATTAGTTTTATTACATCCAAGTGAAACTTCATAAATAGTTTAATCTCATCGTAATCTACAACTATTTTATTTACGAAAACTCTTGGAATTGAGGTGTTTTCAATCTGTAGGGCGGCAAACTTTGCCTGTTTTATTAGTTACTAAAAACTCGTAAATACGCAATGCTTTCTACTTGGATCGTAAAAAAATTTAACAGAAAAATCGAGAAAAAATGTGGCCTTAAAAAATATTGAGGCCTTTGGCGTGACCTACACCACCAAATTTTCAAAATAACGAAGTTATATAGGACAAACGGCCCAATAGTTTTGTAGGCTACCTAGTTTATCTATTTTGTGATCAAATTATCTTACGATCCAAGTTGAAAGCAAATGTGTATTTATGAGTTTTTAGTATCTAATTAAATAAATAAAGTTTGCCCTCCGCCAGATTGAAAACGCCCCAATTTTAAGAGTTTTCGTAAATACAATAGTTGCAGATTACGATGAGATAAAACTATTTACGAAATTTTAGGCGGATGTTAATAATTCGATAAAAAGGAGTCTGCACCACGGACTATAAAATTACTTCATAAACTAAGCTATTAATAAGAAAGAGTTTTATTGAGAGACTTTTTTTTCATAAATTCTTTTTTCACAAATTTTTCCAAGAATATATATTATTACATAAAGTTTATTATCTCGAGGAAAATATATTTAACCCATATTTAATTTACAAAACTTTATTTCATTTTTATGATATGATTAAGTTTCAGGAAATTATGCACATTTTCAAGTTAAAAACAATATATAATGAGTATAAATACATTAAATTTTATTTTATCTCATAATCACAAAATTATATCTTTAAAATTTAAATGCCATATTCTAAATATCCAAAAATTATTTTTCAAAAATCAAAATCTGCGATAAGTTACAATAAAAATTCTTTTCGTCTTGTTTCATTGTCCACTGTGAGCTGTGAGCTTACATATTATTGTATTGTGTTCTGCAGAAATTGTAAACATAATTAATTCAACTAAACTATTAATAACAAAGAGTCTAATTCTGTGATTAGCAATGAAAAACAGTTTGAAAAATGAAGCAAAAATATTTTATTATTTTTGTGAATTCTTTATAATCGCTGCAAAATGAACTAATTGTATCACAACACGAGAGCAGATTCCAGAGAAAATTCGGGAGAAAGGTTAAAAAGAAAACAAAATGTTTTGGGGCCTAACTCGAAAGTATTTATTCTATGGTAACATTTATATACTAACTTTTGAGAGGTACCAAAAAAAAAAAAAAAAAAAATTGGAATCGAAGTAGTATTAGCGATGATACACCGTGTTATATTTTCTACTGATGTTTTAATTTATTACTTTTCTACCTATACTAGGAAAAAAAAGTATTGTGATTGGAAACATTATAAATGAACAAAAGGTGATAAAATTTCCTACAAAATTAAATAAAAATCGTTTATTTCGAACAACTATTAGCGAAGATTACTTTATAAGATTACAATTATTCAATTTCTTATGTATGATTATGAGTTCAAGTCTCGGGACCAGAATGGGATACAGAAAAAATTAAAGTAGTAAAAAAGTAAGTGAAAGTAAAAAAAAATTAGTGCCCGCATCACACACGTTTCACTTTTTCCTTTACTTTTAACAGAAATTATTGTCTGACCAAAGAGACTATGACAAAAAGTTTTTGATTAGTAATAATAGAGGGTATTGAATTTTTTACTAATCTGTAAATTTATTATAAGGAGCAGAGTAATTTAGGGAGTAAGGTGTTAACTTCCAATGTTCAAGGACCCTGGTACAAGTCCTGATGTGGTAGGTAATTATTTATTCTGTTCCCCCCGCAGTGGATTAACCCAGTTATCAGAAGACTCTCCTGTGGCACACCCAGTCTCTATAAAGTTGGTACTATCAGTCAAATTATTAATTAAAAGGGAAAAATCTGGTGATTGAGCGTGACCCCGGCCTAATCACTTTCCAGTACAATCTTTGGCCTTGAAACAGTACTCCCTTACTAAATACTGAACCAATGGTCCTGTATTGGTAGAGGTGGTGCAGATTTGAGTTTGTTTTATTTTGATATATTGTTTTCAATATTATCTTTATTTTGTTTTGTTGTATTTACTTGTATTTTACGTTAACATTGATGTACTTTTTCCTAATTACAACTATTGTGCTTTGTTGTGAGAGAATGTTACACTACTCAACAAACAAAATAAATATATTAAACAAAATTTAATTTCAGTATCTCTTAAACCATCACGAACAACATAGGGAAGTAGTTGAACATTTTATATGCGTGCAAATAATTTTCTGCGGAGGTTTTTCAGGTTTTCCTGACTCTTTACCACCCATCAGTCCGGAAACTTCTTCAATGATATTGAGAAACTGCAGTATCAATAGGAACAAAAATACAACCCTAATATGAACAGGAATTTCTTCATTGGTCATAACCCGACAACCGACATTACATACGTCAATGTTACTCATGAAATATACAATGATACTTAGATATTTAAGAGCCCATGTGATAGCCATGAAGTGGAGCTTTTCGAAAAAAGCGGTCAGCATTAGGAAGACATTTGGAGCTTCCACGAGAAATCCATAGAGATTGGCGGCTGCCCCAAGTTTAGCGTGGATTATCACAGCTATGATAAGGACGACGAAGAGGAAGCCGTGTGCGATGTGCCTGAAGGTTGGCCGCTGGGTGTGGATGAGGTAGTATCCACCTCCCAGGAGGAGGAACAATTCATCGGCGAAGACGTTTTCCTTTACTTCGACATCGTGAGGGTTGGAGCCCTTGGTCCACATATAAACGTAAGCACCTAAACAAAAGTCTGGTTTTAATAGTTTTTAGCCATTAGCTAGTGAAATAATTTCATGTCTATTTAATGGTTTTGTTAGATTAATGGTTTACTAAAGGTAAATTAATATTTTAATCTATCAACAATAAAGTATATGGTACAATAAACTAACATGAAAACATCCGGCTTGGTCAAATATCATTTGATTTTTTTTTTCAGGGAGCTGTAAAACAACCCAAGATTGCACACAACTTTTATTTTAAGTTGAAAATACAATTGATTGTTAAAATTATAAGGATAAAAATTGTCAGAATATACGACCATTTAAGTTGTTTGGCGAAGTTATGACCAAGCATCAGGAATAACAACTAAAAAAATACAAAAATTTGAGATATTTATTGAGATATACATTTGTAAATAAGAGAAGATAATAGATGGAAAATATTCAAGAGATAACGTTAATAAATATATAACAGTAATATATACAGAATAGTAAGCTGAGAAAAAACCTTTTATTTACTAAATAAATAGAAAATATAAAGAAAGTAAAAATCAATTAACTAAATTAATATAACGAATGAAAAAAAAAACGAAAACAAATGAAAATGTTAAAATAAACTAAGAAATAAGATAATTTAAAAATATATAAGTAGGTAAAACAAGAAACACTAAACTAACTAATATATTATAACCAGGGCACGGATTTTTATATAGTAAGACTCCCAAAATATGCCACATAATGTGCAATAAAACCCCGTCAAATATACAGCAAGATATGCAGTTAAGAAACATAAAATATGCGTTGAAAAAATCTCTAATAATGCAATAAAACGTATAAACTATTCAATTACACTATCGTGCCTCAAAAAAGATTTGAAACTACAAAAAATGAAGGATTCAAAATTAAATAAAATAATTAAAACATAATTCAATAAATACAAGCGAAAAATTAAAATATATATTAATTAATGGTTAAAAAGATAATAAAAATTTCTTAAGAACTAAATATCAAAGTATCACCATTACTTTGATATTTACAACTAAAGTATTACTTAAGTTCCTATTAGCTACACACAAAAACAGCTATAAGTAATTGTATACGAAAATTATTGATAATTGACAATATTAAAAATGAATATGAAAATAATTAACAAATACAAATATAATAAAAAATACTTGTAATAATTGTTCTCATATTTCGGATTTTGAAACAAAATTGTGCAAATATCAACTCCCTGCTGTGATTAGGCCACTGTCATGTTGGACCTCGGAATTAAATTTCGTACACCCAGGTTTTTAATAAAACTTCCACTACGCCTGATAAATCATTAGTAGTGGCATTTGGGTCCTGGTTCACACATTCATGAAGAACGTCATCATCATCAACAACCGATGGGTGACTTGATCTGGGTCCATCTAAAAGGCTCATATTGTTATTGTTCAAACGACTGAACTAAACTTCGGCGGCATTTCAATGGATAACTGGTTATTCTTCCATGGTACAAACTATTCGGCGGCTATCTTTGCGCTCAGACCTTTTTTTCTAGTAATTTATCATAAGACCACGATTCACAATTTTTTTTTCTTCTTATATAGAGTGTGCGTTTCATAGATGTAAATGATCCCGTGAAGCCAAGGCAATTCACCATGAATGAATAAAATTATTAGTCACAGTAAACATTGACAAAACATAATGAGGAACAGATACATTCTTATAGGATTAATTATAAGAGTTGGAATTAAGGGTTGTCAATCATGTGGATGCACAATGATTTTTGTAATAACCTAGTGTAATAAATGACTTTATGAATTAATCTATAGATCTTTAATGAATACATTTATGAGGCTTGAAACTACATGTTACACTTTTAGCTGGCGGAAAAAAATGGAGTAACATGATTAAATTAATGGATAAATTAATTAAGGGATTCTCTGACTTTTATTTTGAATTTTTTCAAGACAAAAGGAATATTTTATCTTCTAAGCAAGTCAACAGTCATCATTTTTGGGCTGCATAGGAATCCAGATTTCCTTTACCTAATTAATTTATTATTTGCCATAGTTTTGGAATTGCGAATCCCATCATCAAAAGTTACTGCTTTAAATTGTTTTCTTTCGGAAAGAATTTTTAGCGAAGTTATTTCTAGAAAAGGAGTTATTTCTAGGGAGTGGGGTAGCTCAATGGTAAGGCACTGAAAGATCCCAGGTTTGAACCCCGACTCATGGCAGAAAATTTATTAATCTGTTTCATTGACCGTGGGGCGACCCTGGGTCGGGAGGCCCTCCTGGGGCACACCATGCCCCTATGAAGTGGGTACTCTTAATTAAATAATTGATCAAGCGTCATCTCGGTCAAATCACCTCTTTGCACCAAAAAACAGTGCTTTCCCCAAATAGTAATGAACCCCCAGACCCTTCATGGGTTGTAGTGGTACAGGTTTTTTTTTTTTTTTTTTATTTCTAGCAAATCTTATAATGAAATGTCTCTTGTCTGAAACTCTTTACATCAAATGTTCCTTGATATGATTTCTCGTTTATTAGGTATGTAAAACAATAGATGCATCGTATTATAATGAAGAGTATATTAACCTCGGTCAAATACCACAACCCAAAATATTAGAAACATTCACATTGAAGAGAAGATTATTAAATGAAATTAAATTAAAAATAACATTCAAAACGTATATTTTGATTTGAAATATATTAATTTTTACTAATAATATGTATGTGTTCTTTTTATTTATTTATTTTTAGGTTATTTTATTCTTATTTATTGTATATAGATTATTTTCCTGTATAAATTATTTTATGTATTGTACATAGAGTGGGAATGTGATCTCTGAACACTATTATAAATGTCCTTTGAGACATAATGTAATATTTCATGATATTGTAAGTGTTCTATAAACATATTTGTTACAATTACTAATTTTATGTAACTTATTCTATGGTCATAGTATGAATTAAAAAATATATTTTTAGAAAGTGAGATGCTATGAAATACCAGTATATAGAAGTGCCAGAAATGTTTTCCTAAGATGTTCCGCATCTACAAAAGAGATTTTTTCTGTAATTTTCGTCAATGCGAACCAAGGAATTGAACACAATAAGATTCCAATAGGTGCATACGCCAAACTTTGTCGATAGGGTTCCTAGATAACAAATTAATAAATTAAGCAGATAATACACATAAAAAAATTACCTACAAATGAATTAGACTATACCCCCTCCCCTTAGCCAAATGTTAAAAATTTACTATTGTTAATACAACCATGTTTAACTGAATATATTCTTATTATAATCATCAAACAGGAGAAACAGTGGGAGCATGATATACCAGATCCTAATCCTAAAATGTGCTCGAAAAATAATTGGCATTATGTTATGACGTGCACGCCTTGCTTATCGAATTCAAAGCAGTCTATGATTCTGTGGACAGGTTATGACTGAACTAAGAGTTACCGGTAAGTAGGAGAGATTGGCAAAGGCGTGTACAAGAGATCCCAAATGTCGAGTCCTAATACAAGGAGGAGAATCTGAAGCCTCCAAAGTTCGAAATAGTATATGAAAGGGAGATGTACTATCACCCATTTTGTTAAAATTGGTGCTGGAAAAGGAGATAAGAATAATATCAGATGAAAATGGAGGGATGTGCGTTGGAATGAATTATAAAATCCTTAGATTCGCAGATGATATAGCTGTCCTTGGAAGAAATCAAGAGGGCATTGAGAAACTCGCTATGACTATGATAAGACAGTCAGAGCATATCGGCGTACAAGTTATTGAAGACAAAACTAAGGTAGTAAGCCGAAAGTTCCTTCCTCCCAATAACAGGGTCTGTATAGAAGGAGAGTTTTCTTCTAACTTTCGAAGGCATTAAAATCCCGAAAAATCTCTAATCGAAGTATAAAATGCTATGATAAAGCTAGTTCTAATAAATGACTTAGGGCTCTTGACACTAATACTCCAGATAAAAGCACTGAAAGAAACCTCGCACGATAACCAGAGCAATCTGGGGCTAGAGACTCACATGGGTAACGAAAGACCCATAAACAGCTACTTACAGAAACTGGTCAATCAGTATCTCATGAAATGAAGAGACGGAGGTTAAGATGGGCGGGGCAAGAAGTTCGGAGCAATTCATCTGGAAGCCTCTACACGAGGCGAACGACTATATAGTGAACAAAAGACCACGTGGAAGGCCAAGAAACATATGGATAGATGGAATCAACTAAGATACAATAGTGCTGCATGCAGATAACCTGAAAAAATACACGGAGAGATGGAGTCAACTTTTTGAGACGGCAAATGATCTACAATGTCTGTAATTCCAACAGGAAAAATAAAGTATTGAGAATACACGTTTTTTTTTCAAAATCGAATAGTCGTAAGTAGTATTTTATTTCATCGATTATATACATTTGGTCAGCACTGGAATAAAATTGTAAGAGTACTCTCTCCACAGAGCAGATATAATTTTCTGTGACTTCGCGCTTTTCTTTCAGATAAAAAACAAGCTAAAATGGAGACATTTCACTAGTGATGAGTTCTTTCGATGGCTTGATCGTCGAGTGTGTTCAAATCATATAAGAAACATGACGAGGTTACTTAAAACTGGTTTAGATGGGTACGGAAGTACATTATGTGTGGTAAAAATTTTTGAAATGAAAATAATGTATTACAACATTCCAAGTACCATTTGCATCGTTAGATAGCTAAAGATTTCAGAAAAGATAATATCTTGCATATACAATTTTAAAAATATATTTGGTAACTAATATAACAGAAGTATTCCAAAACATAATTTTTCAATTTTACAAAACAGAATCATACACACACACACACACACACACACACACACACACATATATATATATATATATATATATATATATATATATATATATATATATATATATATATTATAAATACGTTATAACAAGTTGTACGCCGTGGCGGCCTTCGACATTTGGCCGTGGCGCATCTAGAAACGTCATTTCTCCCCCAAAAATTAAATTCATTTATTAAGATATTTTATATTATGTAGCATTTAAATTGTACTTTTTTCGATGAGATTCTAATTCATTTGCGTTATTAACAGGCTAGAATTAGCCATTCGAAAATTCTTTAAATATTTTTAAATTCAGAACTTGTTCGAGGGTGGGCCCCACAAATCCTTAGGTTGCGCCGCCCAAAGGGCGGCGTTTGTGGCACGAATTCGATAGATCAGCTTTATATAATCAACCTAAATTTATTTTAGATAACATAACATAAAGTTTATATGCATATACCAAATTACTATAAAATAGATTATCAGTATTGAGTTAAAGCCTCTTGACTTACCACAGCATTACATAAGGTCTCCATCCTTCACTACTTCATCAAATTGGCATTTCTTTGGTTTTTGAAATGGAACAGGTACTTAACGAGTACCTAGAATAAAAGTCTAACATTAAAATGATACCTGCAATCACAGACAAAATGGATTCTCTTTGACTAAAAATGGCGACCATTATATAGAAATATGCTGGTCTAAATACATAAGTTTTATATTCATTGAAAATTATAATTCTAAATTCATGCTTGAACAAAAATCTCTGAGGTGAAAGAATGTTTTGTTTTATTTAGTGAGGTAAAATAAAAATCCAGGATAGTGAATGAGAGCAGTAAATCCCGCAATTGTCTTTAGAAAAACAAATTATATCGGTCAGATTTTCTATAGTCATGCCTGATTCATTTGTGTTCCATTTAGTGGATATATATATATATATATATATGCCATAATTTAAACATATATTAATTATTAGACTGCTTGGCGGTCCTAATCATTAGAAGCACCTTCTCATTCGTAAATATTTTCTAATTTGAACTGTTATTGTTACTTGAATGACCTCATATCAAAGCGAACATCTGTCATTTATAGAATTATAAGAAAAAGCCTAGCATGGCTTCAATTTAAAAGAATTCTGATCATTTATTTATTTTTTTCAACTTGAGCATTGTTTATTAATTCTGCCAAAGACGTGACATCAATACGATTTGGAAAGTTAGTAAAAAAAAAAAAATTGAAATTAAAAATGTCCGTTTTTTAAATGAATGTAGACAATTGTCAGTTTTTTATGTAAATGACCCCTAATAGTTCGTTTCGTAACTAACTCATATCTATTAAATCAGCTAAACTAACATGATCCATTAAACCGGGGTTACTGAGGGACTAAAGGGTTACTATGTACATCGGTTTATTTTGAATTTGAAATCACCTGACGGACTGCGAAATTGTTATACCAAGACTAAACGAAAGTTAAACGTAGTACTAAATGAAAAACATAATTGCAACATATAAAAATGTTTTGCCATCCAGATAATTTCATATTCAAAATAAACTCTAGTACATAGTAACCTTCTAGTCCCAAAGTAATCCAGGTTTACGGTATATATTTAAAACTGGTAATAGGAAATAAAAGTGTTAGATTTCTCTTTCCAGCTTTCCCAAAATGATTTATCTAATAACATTTCGATGTATTGCAGTTTTTTATTTTTTAGTGAAAGCTTGAAGATATGATATTTCCTTTATGTTGATCAATTGATGTCTGCAATTGTACTTGCAGATTGGTCCCTATGTAGCAGTATAAATCTTGGAAGTCTTAGTTTTCCAAAGAATTAGTGGCCCGTATTTGGAAAGTTTAAAATGGAGTATGGCTGCCATTTCCACTATTTCTTTTTTTTTCCTTTTTCATTACAATCCGATGGTACCAATCTCGCTTAATCAACTTAGAGGTTGATTAATGATTAATATTTATAATTTTTGGGATGTTTTAGATATTTTTTGTTAAAAAAAAAAATACATTTTGGCTCAATTAAGGCCATTGAGTATTTAGGATGAATGAAGTACAATCATACCATATATACAATAAAAGAAAAACAAGATTATAACAAAATAAAATAAAATAAAACTTGGAGTAAAAGAATAAATCAAACATGATACAACATTAAATAAAAACTAAAATAAAAAAATAATAATAATAAATAAAAACACATGCCCACGTGTGGAGGACAAGGCAATACTCCAAGAGATCCCAGCGCTTCTCTCTCAGCCGCATCACTAGGATGGGAATCCAGTGAAGACTGAGAGAGGGCACTAAAGCCACATACGCTCATGATTTGAGTGGAGAAGCTGGCCAGGACTCCAATGACGTCTTTACAAAAGATCTTGAGGCCACTGCCGCTTCAACCTTCGAGGAGGATTGTAGGGATGACTGGAACTGGATAAGGATTGTGCTAAGGGATTAGGATGATACTTTTGGTTCTGATAAAAATTTGAAAATCGGGATGGAATAATGTCAAGGACATAAGGGATGTTAAGGTCATGATGTAAGGTTTTGTTCGTAACATAGTAAGGAGCATTGACTATTATACGGAGGATTTTAGACTGGAAGGATTGGATTCGTTTGATGTTTGATAATTTAGTTGTCCCCATAGTTCAAGTCCGTTGGTCCAGATGGGTTTCAGTATGGTCTTGTATATTAATAGTTTGTTTTCAATTGAGAGGTTAGATTTTCTGTTAAGTAGTCTGTATAACTGGCCAAGTCGTCGGTTAAGCTCTTGTCTTTTAAGTCTGGTATGTGGGTTCCATGTTAGTCATTTGTCTAAAAGGAATCCAAGATACCGAACTGTGTCTGAGATATGAAGAGGTACCGAGTTAAAAAGGATATGTGGACAGGATCTGCGTCGGCGGGTATTTGGGATGTTTTATTTTTTTGTATTAGATTAGAAAAAAATCAATGTAACTATCAGAAATATGGTATATAGGTAAAATGTATGGTAAAATGGTAAAATGCTTTCTTATTATAAATTATCGATATCTCATTAGATTTTTGAGATGTCGAATTGGAACTCGAATAATCATCATTCAGATGTTACTGAGGCTAAGGCTAAAAATGACTTATCCGCAAAATGGTAAAATCAGCTAAAGATCTTTTTTTGGAACCTACCAACTCCATTTCTAGGTTGAAACCTATATATTTCAGTTATAGGTTACGTAGGTATAACAAACGACTCGCCATTATTGGTACAGCAAACGAGTTAAACAGACCCTACACGGTAATTCATGAATGAACGTCACAAGAAGTGCCAAGATTGCCCGCTATCGCTTTGATCATGAAGACCCTTACACGTTCAATCATTACTGATCATTACTTATGTGAAGTTTCCACTTTTTTTTCTCTCCAATTTATTGCCTACTTGACTATTTAAAGAAAAAATAGTTGAAAATGGTTAATAATAATATAGACTAGGGATAAGGGGACCCTACACGGTAATTCATGAATGAACGTCGCAAGAAGTTCCAAGATTGCCCGCTATCGCTTTGATCATGAAGACCCTAACACGTTCAATCATTACTGATCATTACTTATGTGAAGTTTCCACTTTTTTTTCTCTCCAATTTATTGTCTATTTGACTTTTTAAAGAAAAAAATAGTTGAAAATGGTTAATAATGACATAGACTTATAGTTAATAATAACAACTATTTACTTTTATGAAATTATTTACTTAATAACGAGACTTAGGTAAACTAACCTATCTAGTAGTAAGGTTAGTCTCATAGAAAACCTAAACTAACCTATCACTTCTCGTGAATGAACCTTTGATTTCCGGATGTTCGGAAATCCGCAGCGCACCACCATCAGTACTTCATTCACTACCTTACAAGACAATTCGGAACGTCATTAATGCAATTCCGATTGACCATGTAGGGTCCCCTATATAAACAACTATTTCTTTTATGAAATTATTTACTTAATAACGAGACCTAGGTAAACTAACCTATCGTAGTAAGGTTAGTCTCATAGAAAATCGTTTTGACAAATGTTAGTAAAATATAAGTCTACTACTTACAAAAATTAAGGAAAGGTATTGCGAAAATAATAAATTTGTTGAGGAAAATGGGAAAAGAACTGATAAATATACACAACGTTAAAGTTTTTTTTTTCCTAAAGTAAATTGAGATGTTTCCTCATTTTTTTTTTTAATTTGTTGCCCACTTGACTATTTAAAAGAAATAGTTGAAGATGGTTTAAAATTATAAACAAGGGATATGAAAAATTATCTAACTATTTACATATAATGAAAATCAGAAATTTATAATGGTTGTGAGGCCTAGGTAACCTAACCTATCCAGCAGTATGGTTAGTCTCCCCACTACTTTTACCTCTGTCCCCCCTCCACTTCTCGTAAATGAAGCTTTGATTTCCGGATGTTCGGAAATCCGCAGCGCACCACCATCAGTACTTCATTCACTACCTTACACGACAATTCGGAACGTCATTAGTGCAATTTCGATTGACCGTGTAGGGTCTCCTTTATAGGCAGAGCATTATAACGACCTATAGTTATAGCAAACGACACTTCGCGACGTGTTATTTCCAAGGAAACCTATATAAACTGAATTTATGTTATAGTAAAATTACTTTCACAAAACATTTGGTCATTAACAAATTTTACAATTAGTAATTTCCCTCACTGATTGATATTTTATAAATTTGTCCACATCTTTATAAAATATTCGATTTTATATCCAGTAATATCTATATTTCAGAATTAGTATATTTTCAAAAAATAAAAATAATTTCATAACCTGTGCAGAATTGATGCATTTTTACATTTAAGACTTGATAGTTAAATTATTCCTATAACCTAACTATGTACATGATCCATGTGTGATATTAACTTTATATTATTTTAATACTTGCCTTCAAAATATCCGAATCTGAAATAACTTTGAGTCCTAACTTGTCATGTTTGACTATTAATACACATTAATTACACAAACGTTGCATTATTATACCACGATTGTAGTATCGATTATTAGTGATCGAGTCTCTAGTCTTTATCTTATGTGTTAACTTCTTAGTTTTCAGTTCATTATAATCAAGATAGAAAAGTGTAACAAGTGTATCGTTTCTTCAATAAATAATTATATAAGTACGTTGTTTTCGGAAAATCGGGCGATTTGCGAAATTAATTGCAATCTGTTTATAAATGCTTGAATTGCTGTGATGACCGTAAATATTTATAAAAACCTATATTTTAGCCATCTTTGGATTCAATAGAAGTGTCCGATTCTACTGAGCTTAAATCATTAGATTTAAGCAAAGGATAATGGCACACCAGTTAAATTAATAAGTTTTATTAATTAAATTACAGTACCAGTTTAATTATAGAAAATATAATTTCCCTACCATCAACTAATACCTCATGCCAAGGCATCATTATTTCGACAATTACGTTTAAAATTGCTGAACATGAAAGGTAAATGAGATTAAATGGTGACTAATGTAGTCAAACTTCAAAATATAACAATGAAAATTTTTTTATTATTTTCAATCGTCATAGACAGACATTATCATCCATCATTTTCGAAATTGCGGCCGATTTTGAGGTTTCCTCAGCTGCAGTTTCACGGCTTTTCTCCTAGATTATTCCTTAGACCTTCCTAGATATATATATATATTTTTTTTTTTTCAATCAGATTTGTCAGTCATAGTCACAGGTCAGCCCAAGATGATATTCGTAATTCGTCATTAACTTCACTTCTTCGTTTTGAAATGGCGATTTGACTACCATATAACTAGTGATGTAGATTCTTAGATAATTTAACCTTTTATATTTGTTTATTTAGAAATATTACATTCCTTCACATCAAGGACATTTATAATAGTGTTCAGAGAAAGCACACTCACACTCTATTTACAATAAAAAAAAATACAGAAACTTAATAATAATAAATACAATAAAATAAAATAAAAATAAATACAATAAAATAAAATAAATGTCCCTTTGAAAAATATAAATGTATTTCTCACTAGAAATAGGCAGTGCTAGTTTTAATATCTTGATTTGGCTACGTGATGATTTATTTTAATTTTTCCTCGTCAGGGAGCAAACATAATAAATTTTAAATTAACGGGTGCTCATATAACTTTTCAATGGTCGTGTATTTGTACAGTGAACCCTAAGCATCATTAAAAATTTTTCAGGACATTCGAAAAACTATATTTTCTATTTAAATTTTGATATCAAAACCATGCAAAAATTGTAAATAAGCATGAATGCTTGCTTTATTTATTTATTTTTATCATTTTTTTTTTTTTGTTTTTATTTGTGTTATATCATATTTTATTTCATCTGATTTATAAGGTTTCTTTTTCTTATTTTGTTATAATTTCTATTATTTTTGTAATTGTATATTGTATTGTGTATTGTACGAATTAGTTTCTGATATCTCAAATACTCAATGCCCTTGATTGAGGCAAAATGTACTTTTTCTCAATAAAAAAAAAATAAAATAAAAAAAAAAAAAATATATATATATATCAAAATCAATATTTAAATAAAATAAATAAAGAAATCATTTATGTTATTTCATATTATTATTATTTTAAACATTACTCGTCAAAGTAAAGTCCATAATTTTCACCTACTCTCACCATCTGTCTGCCAGTGATTGGGTATGATAGCGGTAGCACTCCTCTGGTTCAGAGTAAAGCAAAGAACTCTTCACATCCAATATTTACATCTTCGTCCGATCTTTTAAAAAATGAGCCATTGATATAAACAAGGATCCACGGCGGTCGAGCCAGTTAAGGCGCCTGCAAATATTTTAAGCTACGAGTGGATATAAAACATAACAAAAAAGATAAAAAATAATTAATTATAAATAAAAATAAATAAGTGCAGTCCCTACTCGATTCCTTAGACCACTACGGAGCGGGTTCGAATCCCGGATGGGGACGGTAAAGTTCCCATCCTGAGATTCACAGAAAGGTGAGCGACTCCTGTATCTTCCAACAACATAGCTCCTGATCCTCTAGATTGGGGGTTGTGCACATGGCCTTTAACCCGATTCCGTAAAAAACAATAGGATGGAAAATTTTGGAAAAGGGTTGCTAATCATCCTGGTGAAGAGGGATTGTTCGCGTCCGGTTATTATAAACAACGAGATCCCTGGATATCTATACCACTATAAGAGAACCAAACGATCGCACCTGTCGCCTAGAAGACTAATGAGCTAAACAGCTGCTAGAAGACTAATGACGGAAATCAATAAGTCAAGGGGTAAAATATACATACCTATATATACACAAATTATTATCTGTTTAAACAGATTATACAAACCATAATCTGAAAGTGCAATATCTTGGTTATACGCAATGTGAGGCAAAACGGTCACTGCTTGGAGTTCTATCAATTTTTTTCTTGCTCAAACGAGAACGATGTGCAAGTGCATTGTCGTGTTGCAGAATGGCTTGGTTCTTGATGATCAAAGCGGAGTACTTTATCCTCAAAGCTCCGTGCCGTGCATACATTCTAGCTAGCTGTTCGCAGTAAAGCTTTGAATTCACTGCCCGATCACCAAGAACAAGCTCCTTCGAAGTTGCTCCAAACACGAAGAGTCACTTTTTTCCCAAACCGATCTTGGTGAACAAAGCTTCGCTTGGCCATATCCAATGTTTGGTAGGGTTATTTAAAGATATTAACTTTTCGTCACTTGTGATCATGTTTTTCCAGAACCTGCCATCTTTTGGATTTTTAGGTAAAATTTAGCAAATATCAACAGAATTCCAGGTGAGGGATCTGTCAAGATCGTAAGATGACGTGCCTATGTGGCATTAGAAGCCCCTTCTTCGGCCAATAAATCACGAGTAGTTGCATATGGATTCTGGTTCACACATTCAAGAAGAACGTCATCACCAACGACCAATGGGCGACCTGATTTTGATTCATCTGTAAGGCTCATAGACCAATTGTTAAAAAGCATGAACCACAGTGCTGCAGTATTTCGATGAGTAACTGACTCTCCTTGTATAGATCAAATTTCTTCGTCTGCTGCCTATACTCTTAGACCATTTTTCCAGTAATGTCTCAAAAGTCCGCGTATCACATAAAACCAAGTAAAGTCACAAGAAAATATATGAGTAAATAAATCAAATATTGGCATATATAGTAGGAACAGAAACACTCTTATAGGATTAATTATGAGAGTAGGAATTAAGGACTGTGTTTATGCACAAAGACTTTTATAACAACTTAGTGCATATTCTGATCGATCTAAGAAAAATAATTATCTTGACTCTGAAAAAAAAAATGATGAAGGTGTAAATGTTGTTTACATTAAGTATCTTAAAGTAATGTATCTTCAAGAGTTTGGAGTATGGCTTATAAATGAATTCTCAGCGCTGTAATAAGTTATTAACTATTAATTAAATAATATTTAGTTTATTGTACCTTATTTTTTAAGCTCTATTCATTGGCCGCACATTCAACCAACTTCTTATTAAAAATATAGTTCTAAAAATAGAACACTGTTCATAAAATATTATCTTAGTTATAAATTATGTATTAAATGTAATTCAAGATAATCATTACTTATACTGTTGATTTCATTTTTGTGAATTATGATTATTATATAAATGAATGTAAAATATTAGAAGGGGAGAATAAATTTGACCTCTTCATAAAATATAGGAAAGGCAGAGAGCGCCTTGCCATCTAACTCCCTCCCTCCCCACCCCTCCCCTCCCCCCTCTGGCCTCTGGTTCTATTTAATTCTACAATTGGCACATACAAAAAAACAAATTCAAAAGTCAATTAGTTTTATTTTAACGAAATTAAACAATCTGAATAGGATCGTCGGTTTCATACAACTTTTCACAAACAAAAGACTCAATTTTATTTCCAAATCCATATATAATCATCAAGAATCTTAACGTTGGCAGCATCTTGATCTTCGGATGTTTGACTTGGATCTTGTTCTAGAATTGGATCTTGATTTCGATCCTGAACTAGACCTAGATCTACCTTCTTTGGTTTCTTCATCACCCTGAAGTGCCAGGTAAGCTATTTCAATGACAAAAGCGAATGAAAACAAAGCCAATATGACCGTCAAAACTTTTAGATGCATTGGAACTGTTTGGTCCACAATGAGAAACGTGTGGTATCCAAGAGCTACAAACTTGGCAAGAATGAATATCAGTGGGTAGATAAGGTTAATTATTATATCAAGCGAACAGCACTCCAGCTTCGCGATACATCCTCTTAGAGCAAAGAAGACGTTTGGAGCCTCGACTAGAAAGCCGAAAGTATTGGCGGCTGTAGCTCCTTTTTGTTCAATAAGGACGCAGATGATGGCAATGATGCTGAACAAATGATGAGCGGACGTACTAGGAAATCTCTGAGGGTAGATGTGAAGGACGTAGTATCCCCCTGCCAGGAGAAGGGGAATTTCATCTTGAAGAGTGCTCTCTTTAATTTCAGCGTCATGAGGATTTGATCCCTGGATCCAAGTGTAAGCGTAAGCACCTGTTCAAATACATTATTAATGATATTTATATACATTAATGTCAGTATATAATAAAAACAATTAGTCATAAATTAATGAATGTGAAGAAATTAAACAAAACTTATCCAGATCCGCTGCCCAGCATATGACGCTTCGGAACCAACAGTCGGAACCACAGTCCTCTTTTTAATGTGAGTAAATCAATCCCCCGATTATGGCCAGCTCTTCTAGGATGAGGACGCGTGATAACTATAATTGATCAAGTGGCACTTCGCGTGAGCGCGGCAAAGCAATTTCGGTTGGCTCGATATACCGATGATGTGATCTAGAGTTTAGCTATTCGTGGCATGTTAGGGAGCTTATGCGATAGTCCTTTCACTTGACTCGGGGGAATTCGTACGATAAGAATATGACTGTGTCGAGAGGATGCATCTACCGAGTGCTTTGAGATTTGAACTCCGCAAAAAGATAAAACATAAGGAAGGGGCAAGGTGGCCGACCGGGCTAACATGTGTGCGTTGCAAACCACCGTGCGTTGTCCGGCAACCTGAGACAAAGTTAAGTAATAGTCAAAGATTAATGTTCTCTCCCAATCTAAGTATTTGGCTCTTTCAGATCGGCTTTGAGACTATTGCATTCAGTGCGGCTCCAGGGATTTTCTCACAGAGGAGAAAGGGCGCACCTCTGAACCAGGGGCTTTCCCACTCTTACCCGTTCCCTAACCACTACTCTTCTCCCCCCACTCCTTACCTCAGTTAAGCAGCTCACAAGTCCTCTTTAAATCATTTTAACAAAAGCAATTTCGATTTTTTTTTAAGTAAATCTAACACAACTTTAACTTAAATCTCAAAACTTTAATTCAATACTTTCCTGTTGAAAATCGAACCATTGTTTACATAAATAGTTTTGTATTTATTGAGTTCTGCTATCACTCCTTTAAATATATCACTCTACTTACGAGACACCCTATGTCTGGGTTTAAACATGTAAAAAATTAAATTGCTAACGCGGGTTACCAAGAGAAAACGTTTTACAGCCAAAAAATCTGATCTTTTTTTTCATATATTACTACTAAACAATGCATCAAAGCAAAAAAAAAAAACGTATTCTTTAAGAAATTAATGAATCTCAAATCGTGCGTTGAACGAGAACCTAAATTTAATAATTTGATTAAGTGATATGGTCAATGAACACTAATGTTTACCGACATTGTCAAAATCTGGGAAAGATAAATGGTCCTGTAGATTGGAAATGATTTTTCTAAGAAAAAATCACTCAGGATAATTTCCGATCCCGATCAAATCGGAGACCAAATATTAAGTACCTTCCTTCATGAAAACGTTCCCAACAGAAGCTATTTTAAGAAAATAACAACACTTTCTAATGAGAAATATACAAATTATTATCGTGACCAGTTTTATGAATCGCATGGATTCTTCAAAGAGACTGGAGTTTGCCATGCGTCCAGATCTATTGGAACTGAATAAAAACTGGGACCGAGAGAAAACCCGTATTTTCTTGTGCTCGAATAAAAGTTTGTTCGAAAGAATAAATGAAGTTCATTTTTTTAAAAATAAATCCTACTCTATTATGTATTTCACCTGCGAGACTCAGTTCGGAGTCAATAGGAAGAGGAGCATACAAACTGCGAGAGGAGCACAAGCCTTCGCATCTCACGTCGGCCCAAAAACTGCATCATGCTTTTCTTTAAATAGCTGATTTTTGAAACTATTTCAAAATTTTTTGTGCACCATCCAGGGGAAAGATCGCCCTTGCATAATTCGCTAGTGATGGTATCGATATTTTTCTATATGTCCCATTAGAAAATTCGTCTAAGAGGATGAATTTTCCCTATATTTCTCTTTTCATTAAACAGCTGCTTAAAATATTAGTTTTTGAAAGAAAGGTTCTTCAGAGGATATTTGGCCCAGTTAAGGAGAATTGGAAGCAACCAAGAACTAGCTAACTTATACAAGGAGACGGATATGGTGAAATATATCCGGATAGCAAGGCTGCGATGAGAGGGTACAACTTCGTACGGATGGACGAGACCTCAATCCTAAAGAAGCTGCTGAGCATGGAAGCGGGTGGAAAAAGAAAAGTGGAAAAACCGATAGTGAAATGGAAAATGGATTAAGTGCTGATGCCAGAACTATTTTTCTTCCATACACGGGGGGGGGGGGCGTGCCCTCTAGCTCATAAATCACTAGTGTTGGTCACGATAATAATTTGTTTTTATATTAAGTTAGAAAATTCGTCTATTAGGATGAATTTCTCCATTATTTCTCTCTTCTTTGAATAGTTGCTTTTTGGAACTTTTCCCCCACTACCCAGGGGAAAGAGGTGCGCCCCTCCCCCTCCCCTCCCTGGCTGTATCCGCTAGTACTGGTCACGATAATAACATTTTTATATTCCATTAGAAAATTCGCCTTAGGGGATGAATTTTTCCTATATTTCTATTTTCTTCAAATAGATGTTTTTTTTTTTAATTTCTTTTGCAACATCCTAGGGAGGGCGCGTCCACTGGCAAAATTCGCTACTGCTGGTCATGACATCCAGTCATGACATAACATGATGGTCATGACATATATTTTTTTTTATACTAAATTAGGAAATTCGTGTATGAGGATGCATTTTCCCTAAATTTCGCTTTTATTTAAATAGGTGTTTTTGTCACTTTTTTTGGAAATTTTTCCACCGTCCAAGGGAGGGCCCTGGCAGAATTCGCTAATGCTGTTCATGTTAATCTTTTTTTTTTTATATTCAATTAGGAAATTCATCGTCTATGAGGATGATTTTTCCCTATGTTTCTCTTTTATTTAAATAGCTGCTTTTTGGTACTTTTTAAAATATTTTTCCAGCTTCCAGAGAGGGGGCGACGAGGGACCTCGCGCGCCCCGCGCCTCTCGGCTGGACCCGCTAGTGGTCGCATTAGTGCACTCTGTGATGAGCAGATAGCCCAAACATTTCTCAAAGTAAAGTATATGATTTATGAGACGGATGAGTGATCATTGAGATTGCGATTGGCAGATATTAATCTATTTGGTGTCTTGTAAATATTATATAAATATCAGACCCCTGTTTAAATGAGAATGAGGAGGAAACAACATTAGGTATCCGGTTACATTGCAAGAGAAATTGGCGTCTCATTCGAGAAATCCACAACTTCGTCAAACATTCCAATCAGGATGGACATCATCTACCCAATGTAATCTATAAATTGCCACAAAATTTTGATTTCTTCAAAGATGAATGATGGAACTTAGACTAAGGACAATTACTTGTCAACGATTAGAGTTGATTGAGATATGCCAAGTAAGGTGGCGACATCTTTGTTGTACGAATGTTTAGGTTGATATTGTTGATTTATTGATCTGAATATTGATTATACTGAAAAGGAGAACAAGAGGACTGAGAGGACGGTGGTTCTAGGTGGAATGCTGTCCAGTTCAGGACTGTTCTGGCCGCCCTTGGTGGCTGTCAAGTAGTTTTTAATGGCTACTAAAGGGTCAGTAACAGAGTCACTTATTATATTACAGAAAACAAACATGTCAGTTTGTCAAATATCATTTCGAGATTATTCTACATTGAATATAGAAATCCTTGTTTGTATATTAAATTCGTCTATTAGGGTGCTAATCGTGAATGATTTTTAGTGGACCAATATAATTGAATTTTTTATTGATCTTAAAATATTTTTCATTAAATGGATGCCCACATGGGAATGTGCGATATTATTTCCGTAATATTTTAACCTCAAAATTTATTTAGTAATTGATCTTCTGTAATCCAGATCATCCACATTCACTTGGAATCTTCTAAATTAATCAATACGGAAGAATTTCTTGCAAAAAATATGTTTAGTACATACATAAAAACTCCTATTCCAAGAATCAGATTTATTTACATTTGTTAAAACAAACATGGGATTAAGATATGTCTATACCTACTTTCAAATGTGTATTACTTAAGGTGCACTATGCACTTGATCAACAAGTGCGGCCCTTAGGTGCAACAATGGTGCACCAGTTTTTCTTTGTAACCGTTTTTTTGATACTTCCACTATTTACTGGAGAAGTGAACTTCATACTTGTCCAATACACTTGAAAATCGTAATGGTCTGACGTTCTCGGGTCTAGTATCGGTGATGACCAAGAAAATACCTAAACTGTTGAACATGAGCAAATCTACCGATGTCATAGGGTACCGCTAATATCAAATAAAAAGAATCAAAACTGATGAGTAACAATTTGTTTCGAATTTAGTCAACTTTAAATTTTAATGAAATTTAATTAATGTTTCTGACTTTTTTAGTTCTATTATATTTTATTTTATTTTCAAACCTTTTTTTTAACTGAGAATTTAAGTAATTTTAACAAATTTCATTTTAAATAGTGTTTAAATAAAATTAAAAGTATAAAAAGTTCTAAAATAATTTGTTTTCATTAATTTTATATCTATGTGCCTTTATGAAGAAAATAAAAAAAATAAAAAAATAAAAAATTCTTCCTCTTCTATAAAAACTATCGCGTTAAATTAACGTTAAGTTAAAAAGTTATATATTATCTTATTATTTTTATTTATATACCTTAAAATATTTACACGGATTCAATTGATATTTTACAATAATATTTAATATTTAAGATGAGGAGCAATCATGGTAATTTTTTTTTGCTTGGACAATGACAAGAAAAATGAACAATTGTTTTATTGAAATGAAATATCAACACCACAAAGATTGAAATTTATAGATATTTTTTACAACATCTTGATCATCGAATTTTGGATTTAGCTCTTGACAGTGACTTGGATCTGCACTTGGAACTACTTCTTCTCTTCTTTGGTTCTTCATCGCCTCTGTAGGCCAAGAATACAAGTTTGATGATAAAAGCGATGGAAAACAATGCCAGTATGAGCGTAAAGATTTCCAAATGTGTAGATGCTTCATGATCCAGGATGAGATATGTGCGATAGCCAAGAGCTATAAACTTGGCAAGAATGAATATCAATGGGTAGACGA